AAATTCTTTGATCATTAAAGAAATTCAAGTGCAGGCCAGGGGGAGATAAGAATGGTGCGCCGCTTGGGAAGCGTGGCGGCGCTCCCGCCCGAGGGTTCGGATCCCACATGCGGACCGGTTCCCGCTCACTGGCTGAGCGAGGCGCGGGAGCAGCGCCGAGGCTTGCGGTCCCGTTACCGGTCCCCGGTCCGGTGCGGGGGCAACACTGAGGGTTGCGATCCGTTGCCGGACACGGAAAAAGGACAAAAGAAAAAAAAAAAAAAAAAGGAAAATTTAAATGAGAGATATTTGGAGTTAAATGCTTGACTAATATATTTGAGATATCATTCTAATCACATTTTCTATTCTTTGATTTTTATTTCAGAAGAATTGTCCTCGGGTCATATTTGAAATGGAATAGACTTTTGGAGATAAAAAGTAAATAGATATAGGCCCATCATAAACATCCAGAGAAAAATTGAGTTTTGAAACCACTATGAGGGCTGTCTGGTTAGCTCAGTTAGTTAGAGCTTGGTGCTGATAAACTAAGGTCAAAGGTTCAGATCCTCATACCAGCCAGCCACGAAAAAGAAAAGAAACCACTGTGTTGAATTCTGTCCTCTATGTTGGTGTATGCCAATTTTTAAGATGCCTATACAGTATTGACTTTACTGAGTTTTTTTTTAAATAATAAGCAATGCATATAAAATACAAAGAAGAAAGCAAGTAACCCTAAATTGTACTACTGCAGAATAATCTGCATTTAACATTTAGTGCAGACATCATTCCAAACATCTCTATATAGCATGGATTTGTAGTTGGGTGGATGGTTGAATGAATGAAAAAAGCGGAGGAATAAAATGAAAAACTTTATTTAAATAAAATTAATTTTATGTGAAATTTAAAAGAAAATAAAACTAAAGGATTCATTAAACTTTTGGTAAACTTCTGTTAAATGTTCTTTCTTATAAAATCTTCATCCCTCAGATAATAGGGGTTAAAAAAGTTAGAAAAGCAAGTAAGCAGATAAGTCAATTTTTTGTAAGTACACATTTTACTTTGGAAGGCATCAGTTGGTACCAAAAAAAAAAGGCATCAGTTTAATTAATGAGGTAATTAGCATTCTTGTACTTCCCTTCTTTACTTCCTGGCTTTTGTTCCTTGTGTATTCTTTGTCCAGTTTCATCACACTCCCACTCTGTCCTACAGTCATAATCTTAATTTCATGTTTAAATAGACACAGCACTCACAGCCACTCTTCTGCCACAATTTTTATATATTTTCTAGTTTCTTTGTTTTGATTCATCTTTTGGCTGTATCGTCAAATTTATTCTACTTATTAATAGTTTATTCCTTGAATTCTTTTCATGATTAAGAATGTCTGCCTGTTGTCTTTATACTTAAATGACAGATTAGCTGGGAATAACTTTTCCTTCATCACACAATCTTTCCTCTGGTTTTTGTAGAAGTTGCAGCATCATTTTGGGGCACTGAATGTGTCTGTAAAGATGTCTGAAGCCAGTCTGATCTTTTTCTTCCTTTTAGTAGGTGACTTGCTTTTTTCTGTTTGGATCCCTGAAAAGTTCTTTTTTTTTTTTTGTCTTTTTCCATGTCCGGCAACGGGATCGCAACCCTCGGTGTTGCCCCCGCGCCTCGCTCAGCCAGTGAGCGGGAACCGGTCTGTATGTGGGATCCGAACCCTCGGCGGGAGCGCCTCCACACTTCCCAAGCGGCGCACTAGCGCAGTGCGCCACCGGGCCGGCCCCCTGAAAAGTTCTTTATCTTTGAAGGTTAATAACTGAAATAGGATGTCACTGTCAGTTATTTTTTGTTGTTGTTGGTGGTGGTTTATTTTGAGTGGTAGGGAACTAAAAGCTGATGTATCCTTTTATCTGCTGATTCAATTCTTCCTTCATTCCAGGGAAATTTTTCCATGTTGTATGTCTGAGCACTTTTTCTGATTCATTTATTGAATTTACCTCTGCACAGTCACTATTATTCTTATACCAGACCCCTTTACCTTCCATATCTTTTATCTAATTGCTTTAATACTACTATCTTTTCCCACTTACATTCACCATAATTGAATGAAGCCTTTCTTCCTCCTCTTTCTTTCAGTCTTCCTTCCTTCCTTCCATTGCCATGCTTTCTCTTCATCTTGGTGGGTGTTCCATCCATGCTTTATCTTTGTCCCAATACAGAGTGAGTGAGTTGTCTCATCCTACTCTCACTCTTCCTAGACCTAGTTTTTCTGCCCCTCGCACATTACAATATAAGGTCTAGTTAATTGCTTTGTATCCATGTTTTTACATACTTGGGACGGGAAAGGGAGGTAAGCTAATGCTGTGTTAATCCTTGAGAGGAGGCCTGAGCTTATTTTCTCCTGAGGGATACCCTGCAAGACGTCTTATAGCTGGATCCGCTCAGTCCCTCCGGCGCGCATCTCACTCCCATGGGGTTGTGCCTGAACACCACGCAGCCCCTGGAAGATGACACCCTTGGCAGTTCTTCCTGGTTCTGCTGAAATCCCTTGGTGGTATTTCTGAGGGTTTTTCTTTAACTTTTCTTGGGGCTGTCTCCTCCTCAGGCCACTTCTCTGCAGGCTGGAATATTAGTGGACATCCACAGCATTTGTCTACTCACCTTCTTCCTCCAGTGCTCTTCCCGGGGATGGAGGCCTAGTTACTAACCACTCCAGAATTCTCTCTTTCCTTTGCACCTGCTTTTCAATGTTTGCAGCATGAAGGCCTACTGCTTTCTTTATTTGGTTACTACTGGTAAATTTTTTAACTCTTTACATTTTAAAAATATTTCCTTTTGATGTTGGCAAAAGAAAATTCTGTGATCCTACTTTACTGGACCATCATTACTTATCTCCCAAACGAGAGAGAACAGATGAGAACAGAAGAATGAATGAATGAATGAAAAAGATCCCACTGTTAGCAGTATGGAAGCTTGGAGGACAGTGAAACTAAAAGCTGTAAAATTAAGCATGCCAGAACTAAGGCAGTATCAGGGGAATAGAAAACAACATAGATATGGGAGCTGTTTAAAGTTTTAATGAACAGGACCTTGGATTAACTGCAGAGTGTGGGTGTAAAGAAAAAGGAAGATGAATTCTCAGCTTGGCAGCTGAATAGATGGTGATGTTACCAGGATAAGGGACCTAGGAGATGAGCTATTTAAGTTTCAGTTGTCTGTGCATTATCCAGGCAAAGATGTCTAGCAGCACGTTGGTTCTATGGTTGAGAGTTCAGAAGAGTCCTCTGGCTGGGTGAATAGTTTTGCCTGTCATCAGTACATAGCTAAGGTCAAAACCATGAAAACCATTGCTTTCATTCAGTGGTTCTCAATCTAGGGCACTTTTACCACTACCCCACCCCTCATCCTCAGAGAATATTTGGCAATATCTGGGGACATTTGTCTGTCACTGAGAAGGGCAGTGAGGATGCTGATGAACATCCTAAAATGCACAGGATAGCCACACAACAAAGAATTATTCAGCCAAAATGACATTAATGCCAGGGTTAAACCCTGCTTTAGTTGCATATACTTGTTTTTTTGTATCAAGCAAGTTTGAAAATGAATGCGTCCTGGCGTTTTCTTTTCCTTTCCTTTCCTTGGTTCTGTCATTAGGAACTATGATAGTGAGATTCGTTTGCTTTGGTTAATATGTGTGTGTGTACGTGTGTGTGTGTGTGTGTGTGTGTGTGTGTGTGTGTGTGTATACACACACAAGCACACACGTGCGAGTATATTTCCAATTTGTTTCTATGATTTTCTTGTAGTCAGGGTGATGTCATGATTATGCTTTCACACTTGCCCCTGGGACGTCATGAACTAAGGGGAAAGCCTGAAGTGGTGTGCATTTCTAGGCATGCCAGACATGAGGCATGTAGTATTCAGAGCCTTTATGGATTTGGAACCAGAAGAATGATTGGATCATTCTTCCAGATGTGTTTTGTTCACTGTGTGACACTCATACCATGGAACAACTTTACACTTCGCTCATCTAGGATTTCAGCGCTACTTGCCAAAATTGTTAGCCCTCAGTTCAAGGGGTAAATGCCCAGTGTACCCTACTTCAAGGGGCTGGTCAGTTAGCTCACTCAGAGCATGGTGTTGATAACAAGGGTTGAGGGTTTAGATCCCCATACTGGCCAGCTGCCAAAAAAATAAAAGAATTTTGTACTGGCCAGCTGCCAAATAAACAAAAAACGGCAAACCCTACTTCAAAGATAAAATAATTAAGAAAATAAGATAATAGAATATTAACCTAAAATGCTAAAATGAATTATCTTTTAGTTAGTCAATAAGTATTTGTTATAAACTAAATATATCCCTGGTTGTGAATAAACCGTGAGGAGACTAAGAAACATAAGGCACTTCTTACCTATATTAGAGGTGCCTTCTAGATGAAAAGATACTATGAACGTTTATGAAGCAACAGCAAAGATAATTAATTCAGTCTAGAGGAGCGGAAATAGATGAGGGCAACTGAATAGCCTAGAGATTT